AAACTCGGCTTTTTTTTTACGGAGAGGAGGGTAAGTTAAGATCCAAAGATTCATTGTTCTTTAAACCGGAGGCTTATTATATATTTTTCTATTTAAACAGAAGGTGAGTGAGTTGATGTTTTCAAATGTTAGCAATGAATATTTATGGGATAAGTATATTAAGCGGAAACGTTAATTATCTTGATTACTTACTCTTTAAAAACTGTCTATTATTCGATTAAAAATTATTCGAGAAAAAACAACAACAAAAGCATCCTGCGTTATATATACTTTCATTCTTTTGTGGAAAAAACAAAATAATAAATGCTAGAATAGCTCGGACTTTTAAGGTAATTTATGAAAAATAGCAGTCCAATCACCTAGCTGTGTTTGTTTAACCATATACAGACGAATTACCTGTGCTTGCTAAAAATATACAGTCGAATCACCTGTGCTTGTTAGCCATATACAGTCAAATCACCTGTGATTGTTTAACCATATAAAGTTGAATCACCTAGCTGTGCTTGTTAGCCATATACAGTCGAATCGCCTGTGCTTATTTAACCATATACAGTCAAATCACCTGTGCTTGTTTAACCATATAAAGTTGAATCACCTAGCTGTGCTTGTTAGCCATATACAGTCGAATCGCCTGTGCTTGTTTAACCATATAAAGTTGAATCACCTAGCTGTGCTTGTTAGCCATATACAGTCGAATCGCCTGTGCTTATTTAACCATATACAGTCAAATCACCTGTGCTTGTTTAAACATATACAGTTGAATCATCTAGCTGTGCTTGTTAGCCATATATAGTCGAATCACCTGTGCTTGTTAACCATATACAGTCAAATCACCTGTGCATGTTTAACCATATAAAGTTGAATCAGCTAGCTGTGCTTGTTAACCATATACAGTCAAATCACCTGTGCTTGTTTAAACATATACAGTTGAATCACCTAGCTGTGCTTGTTAGCCATATATAGTCGAATCATCTGTGCTTGTTTAACCATATACAGATAATGTTGATTAAGTTTCTATAATAACTATTTAAAAAAAATTGTTATTTCATAAGAAGATATTTTATTTTACACCTATTATTGCGTTATTTTCTTTGTTTGTTGTTGAGCACAAAGTTATAAAATGGGCTATCTGTGCTTTATGAACCACGAGTGTCAAAACCCTGTTGTCTTTTGCGCTATGAGTCTTTAGGCTTACCGCTGAGCCACTATGTGATAATGATGATGAACCCTTTAAAGAAGACGTCACAACAATGGTTGTTATGGTGTTGTTACACAAAACATCTTGACGAAATTGTCAATACCACACGGTTGTTATACAATTGTAACATGAGACCTCTGACGAAGATGTCAAGACGAGACGGTTGTAGAGCATTATTACACGAGACCTCTGACGAAAATGTCAAGACGAGACGGTTGTAGGGCATTATTACACGAGACCTCTGATGAAAATGTCAAGGTAAGAAGGTTGTTATAATATTGCTACATGAAACCTCTAACAAAAATGTTAAAACGAGACGGTTGTAAAAAGTAGTGTTACATTAGTTCCCTGACGAAGGTTTCACGACGAAAAAGGTGCAAAATATCGATACATCAATTGTCTGACGAAGATGTCACGGCGAAAAAGGTGTAAATATTTTGATTCATCACTTCTTTGACAAAGATGTCACGAGAAGACGCTTTTAAAGGTTTGTTGCATGAAACATACCGACATAACGAGCGTAAAATAAAATGCTTTCTGGAGTTCAAAGTTCTTCCCTGTTTTTAATTATTTTGTACACAACACGCCGCTTGGGTTTGCGGGATCTTAGAGATAATAGAACATGATTAAATTTTCTTGCAACAAATCTCAAGCATCGGTGAAGGACTTTACTGGTAATTTATTCGTGGAGATGACACGGTGTGTAATTATCATCCATCTGTTTTATAACGTAAATATGCAACAGAGTACTTTGACCTTCTTGACATCTGCTTTTAGTTGTCAGACTTTGTCACACATTATCTCCCTTCGTCTAAGTAATCAGTCTAGCTAGTTATGTATTTCTAAAGAGTAATTACGATCTCATAAAACAGGTTATGCAGTACTTGAGTTTCTACAACTATAATATATTTATAATAAAGCCAGATATGTAGTTGAATATACGATCTGTGCCACTGTCCATTCTATGTTTTATCTTATCACAACCTGATGGCTTTGAAAGTGAGCCGAATTTTGTCGTCTTCCGAAAACAACCAACCAAACAAATATGATGCACATGTACACAATCTCACCTTCGAAGTCGTGTCACAAGATATGCAGCTCCTTGTACGTCATATTATCTAAATGATATTTTATGGTATAATTTATTTGTTCTTTCAAGATCTGAAAACTTGGCTTATGGCTACTGTATGTTTTGTTTGAGTGATTTTTAAAGAGTTCTTTCAGCATGCTATATAAATCTTGTCAGATTAACGATGCTGCGAGCAAGAGACGAAATTCAAAAAGTTGCTCTTTAGAACGCCTTCAGTTTTGTTTTTTATTCCTTCTGAGATTTCATGTCACCGATCGAAAAGACTAATCTATACGATTATGTTCATAAATACGGCCAAGAAAACTATCCGTATGACCAACGTTTCATATTCATACTTTATCTACTTATAGATATGTAATATGTTTTCTTAAGTTTCAAAAGCAACAACCGATTATAATTTAATGATTTATCACTATAAGAAGAACTTTATTGCTATAGTTTTAGTCAGAAAAATAAGTACTATCAGTCTTTCATTTATACAGTCGGTAACCTATAGTGTACGAAGTTCGTCAACCTACAGTTAAGCTAAATATATAAAAAAGACAATGATAATAGAGATATGGTTAGTTGCTTAAACAATGACGATAAAAATTACACTTATCTTTACACTAAAGCCATTATATATATTATTTATTAATGCTAAAGTGTTACGATACTGTGCTGGAACCTTATTAATTATCAATAAACTTTAAAGCAAGTTCGTGATCACTGATTCTAGGGTCAGCTGCAAATGCAAGTGTTCTTACTAATTGTGTATCAGGGACTGAAACCACTGTACGAGGTTAATGAA